TATATTGTTTTGTTGAGACATTGTTGCTTAAGGTGAAAGAAGGTATAGTCTTGGCAAAGGTGGCCGCTTCGCTTACCCGGCCGCTTCGCTTGCCGCTCACGTTAGAAGGAATATGTTTGTACATTATATTTATGATTATACTTTCTTTTCTACTAGGTTAACCTTATCTATAGGTTTCATATTTACTACAAATCTAAACCTTCTCAATTCGTACGAATTGTTCATCTTTCTCGTCATGAGCTATATCGCCAATGTCTTGATGAGCCATGACATTTTCCTTTGGATATGCCCTCTTCCACATGGACCAGATCGAAAATTGGAACAACTCATCCATAGACTCAATAGACCGACCTTTCATCTCCGGCATACAGAAGTAGACGCAGATAGCGCCAATGTATGTTAGTACTGCGTACAAAAGGAACGTTCCCCATCCCAAGTGCGTCATCATCGACGGTGTGGCTTTGGTAATGCCAAAATCAACGATCCAGTTCGTGAAGAAGCACCAGCTCATGCAAAAAGAGCGAATACGAGAAGGGAAGATCTCTGCAGCCACCACATAGCAAGCCACGCTATGACCGAATGACCATCCGAAAGCGTAGATGTAAATCCAGACGATACCAAAAACACCGCCGATTTCGGTGCCACCCCCCACCTCTGGTTTTGCAAATCGAACGTAGAGCGCAATGTACAACATGGCAGTAGCCTGAAGGCACGCGCCTATGATAAGAGGCAATCTTCGCCCGACGCGGTCAACAATGAAGACGACGTAAATGAGCACAGTGACAAGCTTGACAACACCATAGATGCCAGTGGTGAACAAGGCTTGAGATCCCCCCCGTACGCCAATCATAGTAAATATTTCCGGGGCAAAGTAGTTGAGTGAGTCGGTTCCCGTGAGTTTGTGGAAGAGGAACAACATGATGGCGAGGAAAAAGCGCCGCCTGTTGGGTGGTACAAGCGCAACATCCTTGAGCACTAGCCAATAGTTACGTCCAGCCGCGATTTCTTGCTCTAAATCCACTTGTGTGCATGTTTCCATGTATTCTTGCTGAACATAGGGATGAGATTCGGGGAGCTTCCGAAGCTTGACGAGATTGATAAGACCTTGCTCACGCTTTCCACGCGCAATCAAGGCACGAGGCGTCTCTTCCACGAAGGGGAGCATTGCCACCATCTTCTATAAGTCAGTGATCATACCACCGGTCGAGACTGGAGAGATACGTACGAATCCTCCTGGGATAAGTTGAATGCCCAATGCTAACATCCATTGTGTGTTGTCTGTGACATTGACATTTTTCCATTTGCTAACTCCAAAGTTCGTCCAGAATGCCAATGAAAGAGCAGTGGTGATCATTAGGTTGTAGAGGCAAGTCATTGATCCACGAATCGCTTTGGGCGAGTTTTCCGCTAGAAATTGGGGTGCGCCAGCGGACATGCATCCAATTGCCACACCAGCAAGAAATCTGCCTGCATAGAAAAGCCCTAGATGGGGAATCTCTTGGAAGGCACAGCCCAGCAGATACAATAAGCCGTAGAGCATCATCGACCACTTGCGACCTAAAAAGTCGGCACACGGAGCAGATAGCAGAGCACCTGCAGCACCACCAGCAGCCACTGTTGATAGTTAGCGTCAGAATTCGCGGCGTATTGGACGAAGGGGAACTTACTCAAAGACGCAATATTACCTTTGCGCGCATCCGCAGCATCTTCGCTTAGGCTGTCCAGTCCAAAGGCATGTTTGAATGTCGGTAAAGTCAATACTCCGCCAATGTTCCCTTGATCAAAACCATAGGCACAGCCAGCCATGGCGATAGTAATTCCTAGAAACGCCAAACGGCCATTGTAAATCTCTCGTGGGTCACTCCGAGCCTGGGGCGAAACCCAAATGCTTGTACCCCCACCCATGTTGCATATAGAATCGAGTTAAAAATTTGGAGGAGAGAAAATATATCTCGAATTGTAATATATGGACAGCTGTGAGGAGCAGAACTCTGTCTACTACAAGCTGGGTCTTATAACATACCAAGATGGTACGAAAACATGGCCACATCTAGCTAGTTTGGTTGACATGCTGGTCGGTTTCTCCCCGCATTCGCGTTTCCCCGCAATCCTTCGTGTGACCTTCTTTAAATCTCTCGGTGAGAAATCCGGAGACGATCTTGGTATTAGAAAGACTAGGAAAGGATGTCCGGAACTTTTTCCGGGTCGGCTTAACCCACAAAAGTAATACCGACGTGATCTGGCGAAGCCTGTGAGAGCGCACGCTCACTGGCTCTTAGAGTGAGGAAGCTTACTTGGCAAGCTTATATTAAGTTCGCTTTTCTTTTAGGAGCTATATACCTGGCTTGCTCTCAACAGTTCATCGATTGAAGTAGTAACCAGGATTTTCACAATGCTAGACTTCAACGCCGAGCTGGACGTCCAATCGGACAAACCTTTCTTCGCTTCAAACTACATTCCGGCATCCACAGTACAAGTTCATGCCTCCAATCTATTGCAGTTACCAAATGGCGACCTACTATGCGCATGGTTCGGAGGCTCTCAGGAAGGACTCTCCGATATTTGCATCCATTTTTCGCGGCTGAAGAAGGGCTCAAGGGTATGGTCAACGCCGCAAAGAATCTCGGACGATTCAGAGCGTAGTGAACAAAACCCAGTGTTGTTTCTCGTTCCTGGAACATCGACTCTGTGGGTAATGTATACGGCACAGCCGGCTGGAAACCAAGACAGAGCCGTTGTGCGATACCGTGTGTCATCGGATGACGGCCAAACATGGAGTTTGGCGCAGAATCTTTTCAATGATGAAGGGCTCTTTATTAGGCAGCCAGTCACTGTTCTGGACGATGGTACCTGGGTGCTCCCAGCGTGGTACTGTCGCAATCCTCCTGGCTTTCGCTGGGTCGGCTCAGATGACATCTCCGTTGTCAAGTACACGAGAGATGGCGGAAAGACTTGGCAAGGGAAAGAAGTTCCCAAATCAACAGGGGCTGTACATATGAACATCAAAAAGCTCCTTGATGGCTCGTACATTGCTTTCTATCGCTCGCGGTGGGCAGACAACATCTACATGTCGACATCCACCAACTGCATCGATTGGACGGAACCTAAGCCCACAACCCTTCCGAACCCAAACTCTGGTATCTGTTTCGAGGTTTTATCCGATGGTCGTCTCATCATAATTTACAACGACTCTCAGTTCGAGAAAGGCCAGGCAAAGCGCGAGGGCCTTTATGACGATATCACTCCCGAAGACGATAAACGTATCAACCAGCGTGGTTCGACCAAGGATGCTATATGGGGAGTACCTCGTAAGATGATGACCGTAGGTGTGAGCAGTGATGGAGGTAGGACGTGGAAGAATAAGACATTGCAAGAAGGCGATGGATTTTGCATGACAAACAACTCGCGAACAAAGGAGAATAGAGAACTCAGTTATCCCAGCATCTGGGTGGATAGAGATGGAAAAGATGTCGTGAACGTTGCGTTTACTTTCTGGAGACAGCGGATCAAGTTCATTCGTTTCGATGCTGACTGGGTAGATAGCTAGAACGTTACATTTTTGTACATGGATACAATGTCGGAACTAGTAACCAAAACTCGCATCACTCATTAGCAGAATCACGAATAATAAAGCAAGGTATATCATAATTGTTTGATAAACTTCATCAGAGAAACAGAAGTCCCGTCAAACGACATCGACATCGTATAACTGGCCGACGGTCTCTGATATTGTTTTTTGTCCTCTAATTTTGGGATGTCACATATGCTTTGGTACTTCTGATGGACACAGCTTCCTAGGCATGTTCATTTTCATCCATTCATTTCATTAGCCAGGAGCTGCGGTTGCACTTTGCTTGGGGGGTTACTTTCACGCATGTCAAGCTTTCACCGGAAAGTATTAACAACACTATCGATAACTATCATAACGACTACGGGAGTTGAGTTAAAGATACAAATATACAGTTTCCCGCTTGTATCGGGTTTTTAATAGTTTTGAATGCCATTTGCAGTGTTTTGGTGGTGTTGCATCGCGCACTGTGTGCATTGTCTTGGTAGGGCAGCAATGTCCAGATATTTAGCTCCGCCGAGAGGCACGCAATGCATCGTATGCACAATGTGCGGCAGGTAATAAGAGGTGCCCCTGTTTTTAGGCGTTGAGATCGGCATTCGGGGAGAAGTCCGGTGTGGAGCTAGTTACACCACGGGGAGGTTGCCCGACGCTGAGAACACCGAAAAACGCACCCTTCGGACCAGCGCGGAGAATCCATCTTCTCCCCGCATGTGGGGTTTATCGAGAAAGTGTGCCAAAAGAGTGACAGATTGGCGCAGACAGGCTCAAAGAGCGAGGGTCTCGTTTCCGATGAGGACACACTGAGCAAAGTTCCAACCACCAAACCCTTTTCACTCTTGACATTTCTGTCCTAAAGATTTTATATACAAGTTTCTTTGATCTAAGGAAATACTTCAAACAGTATGAGGAATCCCTGTCTGTCATTTGAGGACGTGAGAGCGCACAATAGCCGCGAAAGTTGTTGGGTTGTCATTAAGAATCAAGTTTGGAATGTGACCGATTTCCTCACTTCGCATCCTGGAGGAGCAGATAGTAAGCTGTCAACTTCAATTTCTGTAAATATTTTGTAAGATCTCTTTAACAATTTGTAGCTATTCTCAGGTATGCAGGTCAAGATGCGACTGAAATCTACAACGAAATCCACGCCCCAGGGATGCTCGAGGAAACACTAGCGTGAGAGAAATTAATTGGCGATATCCTCCCATCAAGCGAAAACCCGCGTGAAAGCACATTAGAAGAAACAGCGGATGCCAAATCTAAACCTAAGCCCCCAATATCTACTCGACTTGAATCTGTCGATGCACTTGCGCAGATACCTTTCGTTTACGAGAAACCAAATCTCCGTTCGATTATTTCTGCCGCTGATTTCCAAGAAGTCGCCCGCCATACATTGACCCCCAAGGCCTGGGCATTTTATTCCAGCGCTGCAACCGATCTCGTAACACATAAAATGAACAAAGAGATGATAAGACGAATCATGTTCCGACCGCGTATCCTCCGCGACGTCAAGACTGTTTCCATCAAGCGTAACGTCTTAGGGTGCGAGTCGTCAGCACCATTCTTCATATCACCCGCAGCTATGGCGAGACTGGCACATCCGGACGGTGAGCTTGCTTTGGCCAGAGGTGCCGCAAATGAGGAAATTGTGCAATGCATAAGTAGTAACGCGAGTTATCCTCTCGCCTCCATTGTCAAGGCCGGAAAAGAAGGGCAAATATTCTGGTTACAGCTATACGTCAACTCTGAGCGAGTCAAAACTGAGGAGTTGTTGCGAAAAGCGGCATCTCTTGGCATTAAGGGCATATTTGTTACCGTTGATGCTCCAGTCCCAGGTAAGCGCGAAGCAGATGAGCGCATCGCCGCTGAAAGTGTCGCGAGCGCTATATCCGGTGCGGTTGCAAGTAATGACAAAAAGGGCGGTGGTATGGGCCGGTTGATGGCGGCCTATGTAGAGAAGAGTCTAGTTTGGGAAGATATCGCGTGGATTAAGAGAGTTTCCGGCTTGCCTGTAGTCCTCAAAGGGGTGCAGAGCGCTGCAGATACGATCATGGCCGTGCAATTTGGAGCAGAGGGTGTCTTCCTCAGCAATCATGGCGGTCGATCGCTGGACGGGTAAGCCGCTGGTCTGACAAATTTTCTAATTTCAAGCTAAGACATTATCAGAGCTCAACCGAGTATTCTAATATTATTGGAACTTCATCGCATCTGTCCAAATGTGTTTGATAAACTCCATATTTATATCGATGGCGGGTTTGAACGCGGCTCAGATATCCTCAAGGCGATTGCTCTAGGTGCCACCGCTGTCGGAGTGGGTCGCCCGTATCTGTATTCATTGACGTATGGTACGGAAGGTGTTGAACATCTTACGCAAAGTAAGTTCATGTATCCTGTCATTTCCCAGGAACTTATTCTCAAAACGTGAAACAGTCCTCAAAGATGAACTCGAGACATCCATGCGCTTATGTGGTCTCACGGATGTTAATCAAGCACATCCTGGCCTAGTGAATACACGGGATATCGATCACTTGGTTGCATCACATTTGGATGAGCATCCATACATTCGATGGAAACCTAAAGCCGCACTGTAGTCTCTTTGTCCAGATTACTGCCAAAGGTAGCTGTGCGTCTCGGCCAATAGATCTGCAAGGACTGGAGCTCATGTGATTGTATTTTTGTATGCATAGAGTAGTTTGAATACTCTCAGCCAAAATATGTCAAAACCGTTTCTGAGGTGCTTTTCTCAAGCCGAAATGCTTAAAAGCATGAACGAAGTGACATTTCTCACTCTCATTGTTGTTCATTTTGCATTCTATAGAAATATACCTCTCTTGATACAATGCACAGTCTACAATTGAGATGTGTGAGCATAAAGAAAGGCTTGGAAATAACATGTTACCTGTAGGAAACTACATCGTTGCATTTCCTCATGTATTGGGAAAATCACCGAACACACCGACGCAATGTTCCGCTATCGCTGGTACCTTCTGCTCCGTCGTACATGTTGCTTTGTAACACACGCAAGTAGAAAATATTCCTCTAGCCTGGCTTACTTCCTGGCAAAGCCGCAGTAGGTAATCAGTTTGCGCGTAGTTTCCTGCCAGAGTCCTTGTAGCAGCGTTATGAGATGGGGTAAATTATTACTATTATTGAACTATCAACAATGAAAGGAGAGAAAAGTTCAGCCATTTTTTACTTAGTTATTCCAAAGCTCAGGAGCACTAAAAGTGATAGTAGCGTTCGCCAACTTGGTCGCAATGTTCAGACGTGGAACACCTGGCCAGAAATTCGGAAAATACTCATCGCCCACTGCATTCGTGTCCTGGCCCTCCTCCACGTCACCATTCCCCTGGTCCAAGTCAATCATCCCCAACGTAGCGCTTTTAGTCACTTGATTTGGCATTGTGGCTGCCCATTGTTTAGTCCCCGGAAGCTCGTCGTAAGTACCGTTGCCAGAAGGCAAGGGTGGCTGGGCTAGTAATGTATCAACACCCAGAAGACCGTATAGATCAGTGCTGAATGGTATGCCAGGTATTATGCTAGGCCTGAATGTGGCCTGGAACCAGGGTTTTTCTGCTGGCTTGGATTCGAATGGGTCACCAGTGGTATCGTGTGGGTAAATTTTCACTGATGTTTTACCGTCGTCTCCTTCGACCCAGTCAAACCTAGCAAGATGCTTAGGAATGTTCCAATCTGTTAGTATGTTAGTGAAAATTACTGTTGACTGGGATGTGTGTCCACGGTCAAGTGACTAGGATATGAAATAAACGTACTCGTTCTCCCGTTCCAACACGTATACTTTTGGCTAACGTAGATCCTACTAACTCTGACATTCTTCCTCTCCTCTACCTTTCCACTAGGGTCTGTATGGTTGTATTTGAAGAAACCCGGAACGATTAGAAGTTCGTCATACGGACCAACAGGACTATCCGTGTATCGAATAATCTGGATCTGACCAAGTATGCCAATGTACTCGCCCTCTACGGCTGACGCATACTGCCGTTCGAGCGGTGCGAATGCCTTAGTCGGTAGCTTGTTTGAAAGGGGAACATAGGTGATAGAATAGACGGTACCCTTCAAAGTCCAGGGTGCGGGCGCAAGCTCGATTGGGGCTGTTGAGTTGTTATCCCACTGCGCTGTGGACAGCACAGCGAGATTCAAGAGCAGACATGCAATGCTGAATCTCATGTTCGTGACTGATACGGGAAGCGCAAAAGAACTGCCAACCACCGAACAATAGAACGAGCTACGGGGCGGTGTAGGGTTGGATCATGAATTTGGTGAATATTTTCAAAGTATTTACATACAAATCGCAGGGAGTGCCCAGAATATTAAGCGCTATTGATATCTGCCCTGAAAGTATCCACTATGATAGAATGCCTAATCTATCCCCTGCGGCCTTGTTGTATCTCAGATCCGCGTTGCGTAAACTAACAACTGGTTTTAATGGATGTACCCCATACATTGCGACAGTACCAAGTGCAACCAGGCTCCATTCGGTAAGCAAAAGCGTTTTGGTACTCACTGCACTTGTTCTGAACACCAATAAAATTCTGAGCTTTAGGTAAATACAGAGGTTCTGGTTGACCCGAAGTCATTCCAGATAAAAGCTGTATAGTTAACCCAGATCAGATTCCTTTCTCAGAAGCGGTATGCTTCCGACGATCGCTATTTAAAAATGCGGGGTACAGGAATCCACTGGAACCCCATTGGAGGCCTTTCGACCGAGGATCGAAGCTATACGTACTTACGTACGTATCTTTCTTCTTTCTTATGACACCTCGGCTCTCATCCGGCTGATGCGAAATGGAAAATAACGGCCTCTCCTAGTCCTGCGAACTGTCCGGAAATACAGCTAGATCGCTACATATCTGCCTATTAGGTATCTATAGCTCTAGCACGTAGGTGTGGATTAATATGAGAATATCTTAATGTAGAAAAAATAAGTTCATTTATGAAAAAAAAATATATACTTCATTGAATGACTATAATATCATGAATAACTTGTGTTAGTAGGTAAAAGCTTCGGATCTTGATTTTCTAGGTCTGGTGGCTGCATAGGAGCTCCATACTAATGCCTTGTTTTTATCAGAATAGTCCTTGATTCACAGGCATGCGGCTGGTACGTCTCTAAAGGTTGGGCTCATTCCGCGATTCAGAATGCGATTAAGTTTAGCTCTTCTGCTTGCAGAATCACATTTCCATTCTAGAACAATCATAGACTACGACAACATGATTTAGTAACTTTGAGCGGGACGATGATGTCAGATCTACGCTGAGTATTTCACGATTAGTTATGATTACCTTTTGAAGTTGGTAGTAGAGTAACTTATTATCAGTCATTTATGCGAAAGCTAAAATCGCGTCGAGCTATACCTATCTAGCCGCATCTAAAACTATGTAAATCTGTCCCCGCTACTCCCCCTTTTTTATTTAATTGTGATTCACTCCAAAGATACCAGAATAGGTATAGCGCTCGGATAGATCTGCGATTACGATCCGAGCTACGATTCGAACCCAACAGGCCCTGACAAGTCACGAATCATCACAATTCTTGCACGAGACCCATTCAGATTCGTGCATGTAGAAAATAGAAAATCTGGTAAGCGTGTTACCTAGGCAGAATTAGGGAAAATTTGATCAATCGGTCTTTTGAGATTCATGGGTCACTTGATTTAAGCTATAGAATCTTACTCAATAAGGATTGTACTGCGAGTGGACATTTAAGAAATAAAAGGCTGAGTCTGGCTTCTGTCCAGGTGAGATCTACCTCCTCTATTCCGAAGAACTCCTTCCTCTTTTTTCCCCGCACAACTGCTTGAAGCCAACCAGTGCAAGGGGCCCTGCCTGGTTTTGCTGTAAAAGATGCTTCTTCCCAAGTTGATCCTGCTTCCTTCAGTCCTCGCACTTCCACTACTGGATTCAATAGTAGACCCGATCATTGACAGCATCTGGACCGCGCCAGAGGGTGTCACGAAGACACTTCTAGGGAGTCTCGCAGGCACACTCGGTGCCAAGCAGTCTTATGATTATGTCGTAGTGGGTGGCGGAACGGGCGGCAACACAATCGCATATCGTCTAGCTGAAGCTGGCTTCACCGTCGCAATCGTCGAGGCTGGAGGATTGTACGAGTTTGGCAAGCCTATTGTTGGTCCTGCACCCCTTGGCGATGTAATCGGAGTAGGCTCGAATCCAGCTGACAGCATCCCAACTGTGGACTACGGCTTGGTAACAGTCCCACAAGCTGGCGCGGGAGGCCGTAGAATGCACTACGCGCAAGGCAAGTGTCTCGGCGGCTCTTCGGGCCTGAATTTCATGATCCATCACCGCCCCAACCGAGGGGCTCTGGATGCGTGGGCAGAGGCTGTTGGGGATGAGAGCTACACGTTCGACAAATTTCTCCCATACTTCAAGAAGAGCTTCACCTTCACCCCGCCGAATCAAAAGACACGTCTGGCTAATGCAACGACGGCCTATGTGGAGGCGGACTTCGAGCCATCGTCAAGCTCACCAATTCAGGTGACATATCCCAACTGGACACCCGTATGGTCGACATGGGCAGCCAAGGGACTTGAGGCCCTCGGCATGAAACTGACGGATAAATTTAACCAAGGCGTCCTTAACGGGTACCATTACGCGCAAACGACAATTCAACCGCGCGCCCAGATCCGGTCCAGCTCGGCTGATTTCGTATATGCGGCAAAAGACACCAACATAGGCAGAAAACTCGCTGTATATCTAGGATCGCGAGTCAACAAGGTACTTTTCGATGACAACAAAAAGGCCACTGGCGTTGAAGTCGCCGGACTAGGATTGCTGAAATACACCATTTCTGCCAACAAGGAGGTGATACTCTCAGCTGGTGCTATTCACACGCCGCAGCTACTGATGTTGTCTGGCATCGGCCCTGCGAAACATCTTGCCGAAAATGGAATCGCCGTACTGGCCGACCGTCCTGGTGTAGGGCAAAACCTGACTGATCATGCTCTTTTTGGACCCACGTACGAAGTGACATTCGATACCCTAAACAGGGTACTTGGGGACCCTGTCGCACTTGCAGAGGCTGTGGCTGAATATGCATTGACGCAAACCGGGCCGTTGACGACAAACGTGGCTGAATTCCTGGCGTGGGAGCGGATGCCCAGCAGCGCCAATCTGAGCCAGTCAACATGGGACGAACTGCTTCGTTTCCCAAAAGACTGGCCTCATATTGAGTATTTCCCAGCGGCAGCCCATATTGGAAAATTCAACATCCCATGGCTCGATCAGCCAAAAGACGGGAAGATGTACGCCTCTATTATCGCCGCGTTGGCCGCTCCACTATCTCGCGGCAATGTTTCACTTGCCAGTGCTTCTCCTGCGCAGAGTCCGTTAGTCAATCCGAATTGGCTAACTCACCCGGGCGACGTCGAAGTCGCAATCGCGATGTACAAGCGTATACGCGACGTCTTCAATACAGAGGCGGTTCGAAGCATCCGTGCGAGTGATTCCGAGTACTTTCCTGGCGATAACGTGAAAACGGACGAACAGATTTTGGCCAATATCCGAACGAGCGTGATGGCAGTTATGCACGCCTCATGCACTGCGCGGATGGGACGCGTTGATGACCCAACCGCTGTGACGGACAATCTGGCGAGAGTAATTGGAGTTCAGGGCCTGAGGGTTGTAGATGCTAGCTCCCTCGCGTTACTGCCCCCAGGTCATCCTCAGGCGTTAATCTATGCTCTTGCTGAGAAAATTGCAGATGAGATGATTAAGGGACAATAATGCATCTCTATGGATAAATACTGCAAAACAAGATCTACTTCTATTCTAATCAACGTTCCCTGGTCACATAACATACTATTGGAAACTGCGTAGCTTTCGAAAATATGAACTTTAATATTGAGACCACCTATTGATTGACCGTAGATTACCTTACGCACTAAGTGCGATCTGGGCTGGGTTGGCTGCAACTGCCCAGGGGATATCCACTCCAACACCTGCTTCGTTTATGAAGGGAGAAGCATTAAGATGAGTAGGCTATAGCATCGATTTCGCAGGATCAGCATTTCTGGAAGTCTTCTACCAAGATCTGCTTTACTAGTGCTTTTATATTAGGCCGATCATGTACTGCATCCGCAACTGCTTGGGTTTTGACCGTACTCGAAAGTAAACGATGTACGCCCAAGGTCAAAAAGCAACAAACTCCTCCCCCTTATCTGAGGCCAGTTGGATGACATATCATTCAATATAGGAAACCTATACCGCACTTTATTGGGGATCCTGTCGATATCAGAATTTGTTTGACTTTAGCCTCCATCTCCGAAGCCAATGGTCACATCACAGTCCTAAATGATCTTTCTCTTTCAAAGAGTGGAAACCCTTTCTTCAAAAATCTCGCGTTTTCTAATGAAAAAGTCTAATCTGTGCTAACAACAAGTCCGCCTAGATACTGCACACGCCGTCTGTCAGAGCTGTGCTTAAGTTCTAGAAAACAGTTACTAGTGTTGATAATAACCTTGAAACCTTAGTCGATGTCTCGTAATATAAATCCCAGAATCAAGGTGGTTCATATTGATCTTTGCCTAAACGCCATGTCTCAGGTTTGAGAGGTTTCTCGATCATTCATCTCTATTCTAAGTGCTACGCAAGAGTGGATGTCCAATAAACTCCCGTTAACGAACTTAGAATGCACTTAATCGGACCTTTCGGACCCAACCTAACTTATTTATGCAGTCACGAGAAGTAACAAAATATACCTAGACGCAATGGTAGACAAACTGTTTTCTTCCGCTTCGTGCACAGCCTAGAGGACTACGTCCGGCCGTGGCCATAGCGCCAGCTGATGTCTTACTATCGACTACACACTTACCTTTCATCTTCTATTGAAAGCGCAATCTGCTGCCGGGGCTACGACCTCGCCAACGCGCCACTAATTGTTTCATGGGGCAGATTGCTCGCTAAGTAGCCTTTCATTCCCCCAAATCTTTCCCTATTCTATTGCAACGGTGTAATGGCAGCAGAAGCCTCATCATGATGGAACGGATCGAAAGAAAATGTGCAAGCTGCACATACAAAACGTCATGTATCGCCTCATTCGGGGAGAAAGAGTTATTTCCAGCAGGTAATCGTTTGTGATAGTCGAACGGTGCAACTCACTGGTCCAGTCACAAGGCTATCATGGACTGGTCGGGAGCACAGTGGCTTGATCGTGCAACCATACATTAACGGTTGGCTATAAGTCGGTGTCACACGTTTCCTCTGTGTAAGAGAAATCCCACCTATGCTGGCTGATCGGCTAAGTGTTGTATTACTAACAAGCAATGTTCCTTGAAGGAACCTAGCTTTGTCGGTGCCTCCCACCAGCCATTATCGAGACTTGAGCTCAACAGATTTTAACAAATGATAAGCGGACTTAACTGCGAAAAGTATAGGTAACAGTTGTAGGAAAGAGTCAAAGCTTTAAAGCGTTTGGGGAGTAGCTAGCTATTACTCCAATTACAATGTCAGCAATCTTATGATAGTGATATGTACCCCGGCTTGGGTCCCTTGTCATTGGCTGAAGCGTACCTTTGCAGCAAGTCACCATGCAGAGTTCACGTGGCATGATGCCTGCACTACGTTTCCTCAACACCATAACCCGGACACCAGCAGATGCAAATAGTCGTAGCCAAGGAGGCGGGGAAGTCATTTTTGAGGTAGCCAAGCTCATTGGGGACCGGTAATCTGGGAAACCACGAGTTTGAACCAGTGGACCATCGGAACAAACTCAAGCCAATGACGCATGGCTCGAGTGAACATGAGGTATACCTAGATTTGGCAATAAAACGGGCATTTTGCCCCCAAATTCGTATTTGGGCTGTGCCGCCTCTATCTGGATCGCAAAGCACGCTGGAGCTGATTGCGCATGGACTTTCTTCTCTTAGTTTAGTGCCGGATCCAGTGGACTTTCTGGACCGAAATAGCCGGATAACAACTACGCCCATCAACAACACAATTGACAGCTTTAATCACTATAGAGGAAGTTTAGAAACTGCATCAAATATTAGGCACTGTCGCGCACGAGAGTACTATCTATCTATGGAGTTTGAACAGATAGAAAGTAGGTAGCGTTAGCATCATTGCGTAGTCGCATTGTTGTGGGAGGGGCAGTTTTGATTCTGATTCGGCTATCCCAGTCCTTCCAAGAACTGGGGTGCATGCTGCAGATTTTTACCCTAGTCCCATGATATCTCATCCCGTCCTGATAGCGCTAATCTTGCCATCTCCGCAGAGATAAGTTCCCATCGGGATCAAGGGCAGGGTGGAGAGCTAGTGTATATATCTATCTTCGTTATTTGCTTGCAAGGCCCCGTATGGGTGACAGGAGAACTGCACGATAGAGAGTTGGCTCTCTTCTCTTCAACCTACACTTCAATCCATGTTCTCGCTTCGGTTGCTTCCCTTATAGCACACGCTTCCTGCTAAAATAAAAACTCCCGGCGGACCGGATCGACTTGCTATCCACGCGAAAGGCCTCACATCTCGTTAAGCGAGGCCTTTATAGGAATACTCGGCCCCCCGGAATTTGTAAACATCTAAGCCGTAAACGAAGGAGTACAGCAGCTATGGGTACAGCAGCCATGGATTCCGCGAAAACCACCAAAGGGCCTGCCCGCCAGGCTTCCATAGCCTCCACCAATGCTATCGAGGTCGGCACCTCGTCATCCTACCACCAAGCGGCCCTTACACTCAAATTCGACTTCATCTCCATGCTCGCCATGTCCTTCTGTATTCTCGGAACCTATGCAACTTTTGCCCAAGGCCTCAGCTCAGGCTTAACTAACGGCGGACCCGTGGCAATTCTCTGGGGTCTGGTCCTAGTTTTCGTCTGCAATATCTGCGTAGGCCTCTCACTCGGAGAACTGTGCTCTTCCATGCCCACGGCCCTGGGACAAGCGTATTGGGTCCATCGCCTACTCGAGAAAAACAAGGCTGGGCGGTTTTTATCATACATGACGGCGTGGATAAATACGTTTGGATGGTGGACGTTGACTGCGAGTCAAGTAGCGTTCATGACCGAGTTTTTGTTGGGGATGAAAGTCATGTTTGATCCAGAGTGGGATGGCGCGGGGAAAGCGTGGGTAAATTTCATGGTTTACCTAGGTGTCACGTTGCTTTTCACCGTGGTAAATGTTGCAGCATGCCGGAGTAATAGATTTTTGGCGATTTTTAACGATGGTGTTGGCGTTTGGTTTGTAGGGCTTTTCTTCGCAATTATGTTGGCACTGTTGATTTCGGTGGGTGTAAAAGACGGGATGGAGTATCAGTCTCCGAAGTTTGTGTTCGGAGATTGGGAGAACAAGACGGGATGGGGAGACGGGGTTGTATGGTTTTTGGGGCTATTGCAGGCCGCTTATGGATTGACGGCCTTTGATTCGACGATTCACAGTAAGGATTTTAGCCGCTCTCAAGTTGATATGGTGGGCTAACCGACATTTATAGTGATCGAAGAACTTCCATCCCCGAGGTCAAACGGACCGAAAGTCATCTGGCTAGCCATTGTATGTGGCGCAGCTAGCGGGTTCGTCTTCATGGTGGTTTGTCTATTTTGCGTCCAAGACCTAGATCTTGTTATCGATGGGCCAACTGGGCTGCCGTTTATCGAACTTGTTCATCAGACGGTCGGACTAAAGGGCGGAGCCACTCTGATGGTGTTGTTCATCGTTAACGGACTAGGTCAAGGTGTAAGCCTCGCAACCACCGGCGGTCGCTTGACTTGGGGGTTTGCTCGAGATGGCGGGCTTCCATTCAGCAGCTACTTTTCCCAAATCGACTCATACTGGATGGGTCCTGTACGAGCGCAATGGCTGCAGGGCGTTATCATTGGCCTTGTGGGCGTACTTTACTTCTTTGCCTCGACAGTTCTGACGGCAATCTTGAGTGTAAGCACGATCGCTTTGACCATATCTTACGGCATACCAATCGCCTGTCTCTTGGTCGCTGGACGGGACAAGCTTCCCGTCGGAGGAACATTCAACCTTGGTAGACTCGGCGCGCTTCTCAACTGGATCAGCGTTATCTACTGTGCGATAACTGCAGTATTCTTCTTCTTTCCAGGGATGCCCGACCCTAGTATATCCGACATGAACTGGGCCATTGCGGTTTTTGGTGTGATGCTCGTCATATCAGTGGTCTTTTGGCTAGTTACAGGAAAAGGCGAATATCTCCAAACGCATGAGGCGGAATTAAGGCTTGAGCTCGCAGGGAGATTATTAGCAGTAGAGCACACGGATCTTGAAACATAGTACACTAGCCTCAAGTTTAGAGGTATTTTTTTTTAACGATTATAGAAAATTGTTACTCCAAATCCTATTGCGTAATTCTATACTGACACCATTGCATAATAGAATTGAGTTGATCTCTGTGTTGACGCCTAACTGAAAAGGCTGCAAGCAACGATCGAGTCGATTTAACTGCTCTCAACGTACGCGATGGCCAACTCAAAGAAAAATAGATCATTAGCAGTAGAAGTAGTGGCATTAGTGACGATGGGAGGAAGGGGGGCAATGGAAAGTATCCCGAGACGGATGATATCCGCAGCTAGTCACGTAGCCGTTACAACGTGTCGGCAAACGTTCTTTGCCCAGCCAGTTAGCGTTGTTTGGATCCATAAATCCCCAAGACAAGAAGGACTGATCCAACTACAGCTTCCGAGTCTATCTCTATTTCTCAAGATTGCCATCAAGATCTCAGGCACCAAAGATGACTTTAGTAACGCTAAGAGCGCTTTTAGTTAGCGCAGAGCTTCTTCGCCACCTAATCATCATTGGTAGCGAGAATTGCGTTTGCGGACACAATGCAGGTCATTTCAATTGGCCTAACTAACGAACATGATCAGCAAAGCCTTGTAACGAGTTTCATCATTGCGAAGCCAACCAACGGCTACATCAGAAGATGATGATCATCGTGTGGCAACTATCATGTGACTGATGTTGAGATGTAGAGAAATCGATCTCAAATGCAACGACTGAATACCCTCTGTTGGGAGGGGTATGCCTAACTCTTATTAGATAGTCATACGACAAACCACGTGAATATAACAGCCACATAACTTCGCGTACATACATACTACCCTCGAATGAGCAGGAAAGAGCTGAACAAATAGGTGTGGTAGAATAGCTTCACTTCCTACTATCATTCTATACAATATCTCAACACACACTCATTCAACAGGCCTTTGCGCCAATAATGACAAACGGATTACCGAGTAATAGATATAATCAATATCGAAGCAACTTGAGTTCGAAGAGAAAAAAAACAAGAACTAATGAGGACCTATCACCTCTCTCCAGCACATATCTGCTAGGCAGATGCGCGACGCGCACTAAATAATGGCGTTCCCGGAGGTCCGTCCGTAGCGTTAGTTCTGTTTGGGTGCGCGGCTCCAAGTGAAACACATTGAACTTGGGTGTTGACAGGCGGTCACAGCAGATCAATAACCACATACCAATCCACATGTTCCTTACTCACATGCAACCCTGTGTCCCTCCAAACTCTAATGTCATGTCCGAAGCCACATTTACCCATTCTTTCCCCCCTCAAGCCCGCCTCCGTTCACCTCCGTGCCCCCTCGAGGATCCACCAAGAAACATGCCGTGCGCCACCGCCACGTTCTCCGCACCCTCCCCGCTATTGCTATATATTACTGGATCTGGGCACATCCGTTAGTGTCCGCGTCCTTGGAAGATCCTCCAGCGGACCAATGGCGAGTGATTGGAAAAGGGAGTCGGAGCTACCAACTACGAGCTAATGGAAATCGCCACGCAAAAGGGGTGATCTGCAAACAGGGAGAGGGTGATCCGATGTGACCCCATTTTCCTACTATACTACAGTCTGCCATTGTTCTAAATTACCATGGTGCAGCCTCAAACTTTGTGCGTTGTTTGCTAATGCGCATTCGCTATGCTATCTTTTGCAAATCTGCAGCTAGGACTTTTATTCTTCCTTGGTGGCTGGGCGAACTTCATATGACGAATTTGCATTTAGACCTTTTGGACATCTTCACTCTTCAGATGCGCTGCTCACCTTCAACATGAGTGTCGCCGTTTCGCTGACTGGGACCCAAATGTTCGATGCTGCCAAGGAACCGAGAGCGAGCGGGGGTGAAGGGTCGCCGACGTATGCAGGGGAGAGGCCATTGGATCGTACGCTGTTTATCCTACTGTCTCTAGCTATCGTAACGATATCTTCGCTTCTACTTGGTTTGTATTTGGAACTCGCTGTCGCAACTACTCTACTAATGCAGTTGTAGGTTCGCGCTTCAATCGATTAAGACGCAATGCCGGTATGAAACGAAACATGACGTTCACGCTTGTGCTTCTCTTGTATGTCCTGCTTATGATGTTCGTCACCGCCCTATTGGTGTTGCACAGTGGGCAAGGGTTGTATACCTACAACCTTTGCCTTGCAACTACCTGGGTTTGTCTCGTCCTCTATGCGTTGACAAAAAGCGTAATGTTAGCTTGATACCACCAACCTTGATGAAAACAATTACTAAACATGTCTCCAGCTACATCTTTCTTGTCGAGCGCATTCATGTCGTTCGCGCACCGTATGTCACTCGCCGTCGTGATTGGGTTTACATCGGGAGCATGCTGTTCATGATGACCGCCTCATCCGGTATCGTCATCAACGCCTGGCTTCATCCTTACACCGCCATGGATCCCAAAACGGGGCGATGCCACACGGGAATTCAAAGGAAGGTCACGGTGCCTTTCCTGATCATCGACATCGTTATGGACATTGTCCTCACTTTGGTTTTCTTCTATCTTCTTCAGCCAGTGCTCAAAGAAAACGGAAACTGGAGCTTTTCAATTATTTTCAGCAGTAGTAAAACACGGGCAGGAATGATTGAGATAGAAGGGAGCAGAGATACCGCGGTGCAAAGGAGCATTCGAGCACTGCTGCAGAAGAGCATCATAGGAGCGCTTGGCATTACGATTGTCACTATGGTCCTTTTCATCGTACAATACTTCTTTGTGGAAGGGAAAGGCGTCGCCTTGGTTTGCAGTAGCATCTGCCTTGTGGATGGTAAGACATCTATCCTTCCCCTTTAAACACATGTCTAACAAAGACACAGTATTCTGGGGCTACGTCGTCATCCATTGGCTCACCGATGGAGCATCCACCGAGGCAGAAAAGGACATCAGCTGCTCTTCTAGGCTGACAATTTCGGGGCAGAGAGTTGATCACATCCCGGCATGAACTTCATCAAGTGGATTCGGCCCTCGTCACAACATCGGAGTTTGAGCCGCCATCCAGCATTTCCACGCTTCAGGAGTTCCCACTCCAAGTCTTCCAAAAACCCAACTTTTGGTCCCGCCTTTTTTGCAAAGTTCGCTTGACACTGCAGGTTATGGTCACATGGTAAAGAATTCATTTTCGGCTTGGCGTCTTGAGAAATAGTCTTTGGGAAGATAGTCACTCGTGTAAATCATGTGTTTCGGAGTTTACTAGATGCTCACTTCCAAGCATGGTAGTGAGGGCTCACGTGTATTATTACCGCATATATATACCCTGCTAATTGCACGCAACTTTGTTTAGCTCATTTACGAGCGCTGAATATATAGTCTACATCAAGATTCTACCTTGAAAATCCATCGCGTATCTGGACAAATGTTGCATACCGATCCCTCGACCATCTCCGTGTGCGCTTACCGAACATGGCCATGGGTAGGCTCAACCCCATGATGAGTAAACCTAGCACCCCAAGCACGATGAAGCAGTTCTCCAGGCCTGAGTCGATCCAGAAGCTGGCGACGAAGGTAAATACCATCGCAAGCGTGTTATTGATGACTGCGACACCAACCATGCCTTCAAGAACCATATCACTAGGAGTGTTAGCAGCACCTCGATATCACAATAACAGTGGACCTACGGGAACGAGTCTGCAAGGTATGACAAGCTCAAATCACCAGCGCAGCCATATCCAAAACCGATGAAGCCCAACCCAACATACGGCACTGGCCAATTCCAACCTCGGGCCGTGCCGATACCAAACAGCCAAAGGCCGGTAGGAAAAATCAAGGTGCAAAGTGCCATAAGATACAGCCGGTATTCAGCCTCCATAACACCTTTGTTGCGCTTGATCATCCACTGCATGAATGCATCACTCCCGTATCCTCCATAAGCGCAACCAATAAGACTGCCAATCAGCGTGGGGATGTTCATATTGCCCACCGCAACGGACCCGTAATTCCACGGTTCGCCAGACCATGTATCCTCTTGTAGGGTGAGATAAAAGGTTAAGCAGGACTGCTGGAAGCCCCATTGCAGTCCAGCGTACCACACAGCAGGGAAAGTGAAGACGCGGAGGGTGTGCCATAGACGACTGATATACTGCTTGAAACCCGTTCCGCGTAGGTTCGGTGCTGGGGTGACAATGCGGATACGCTCCCAATATGTCTTTTTCCGCTCTATGGAAGAAAGCGCCGTATCCGGGGTGGACTTCTCGCCGTTGGCGTCATCTGGAAAGCTTTTACCGACAAGCTGCTCAGCGTCGAGGAGGACAGGTTCGTTATTACCGGCGAGGTAACGATCGCGCGAGAATTCCGTCTCTTCTAAGCCAAAGTAGAAGACGACAAGGCTGCCGCCGCATATAATGGCACCAACGTACCCGATCCAACGCCAACCGAGTCCGGCAGATACGTAGGCACCGATTAGAGGGCCGAGATATGTGCCAATAGCCGTCGCAAACGTGTACATGCCAAGTACACTACCAGTCTGATGCTCAAACCAGATATCGAGAAGCGACAGTTGCGCAGTAGCTTCGCCGACCGACTCGGCAGCTCCGACGAACAACTGACTCCAAACTACACCGGAGACACTGTCGATGCGTGCATACCAGATAAGGCCGCCGATATTGAGCACGAGCGAGGCAAGATAGCCCAATCTCCGCCCGTACAAATGCACAAGAGGAGAGCTCAAGAGAGCCCAGTAGCCGATTCCAATAAAGAGCACGCCAGCACCGGTATTGAAGACATCGTAGCTAATGCCATACTCTTCATTCACACCGTCAGAACCGGATCCCGCGTTATTCGAGGTTGCCGCGGTGAAGCCAACCATGTACAGGACGAGGAGCGAATGCCAGACTTTACGCCACAGGGACCAGCGCAGCGGATCATTAGGCGAGTTCGTGGGCTGAGGTACGAGGAGGATATTGCCCGACGTCTTCAGCGACGAGTCTTCTGGTAGGGTTTGGCCGCTCTCGTAGAGTCGTCGCGTGCCGGGAATAACTTCTTCTTCG